GAGACCCCAGGGTCAAGAAATTCACAATTTCGGTAAAGCACCTTAAGACCCTTCCATCTATGAAGAGTATTTGATTCTACCATATCTGGGTCTTGAGAAGAAGATTTTTGAAATTTCAGTCAATTCAACCCTTTTTGGCCCCACCCATCAGCCCCTGGGGGTCAGTCAGGGCTCATAGGTGCATACTATCAAACTGCTACCTAATACTGATAATGCTAACCCAAATTGAATTACTTCCAATGGAAATTAAACAAATGTTGGTCCAAAATGTGATTTCCCTATATAAACTATAGTAAAGTTTACCCCCTCCCCAGGGGGAAACGTGAGACCCCAGGGTCAAGAAATTCACAATTTCGGTAAAGCACCTTAAGACCCTTCCATCTATGAAGAGTATTTGATTCTACCATATCTGGGTCTTGAGAAGAAGATTTTTGAAATTTCAGTCAATTCAACCCTTTTTGGCCCCACCCATCAGCCCCTGGGGGTCAGTCAGGGCTCATAGGTGCATACTATCAAACTGCTACCTAATACTGATAATGCTAACCCAAATTGAATTACTTCCAATGGAAATTAAACAAATGTTGGTCCAAAATGTGATTTCCCTATATAAACTATAGTAAAGTTTACCCCCTCCCCAGGGGGAAACGTGAGACCCCAGGGTCAAGAAATTCACAATTTCGGTAAAGCACCTTAAGACCCTTCCATCTATGAAGAGTATTTGATTCTACCATATCTGGGTCTTGAGAAGAAGATTTTTGAAATTTCAGTCAATTCAACCCTTTTTGGCCCCACCCATCAGCCCCTGGGGGTCAGTCAGGGCTCATAGGTGCATACTATCAAACTGCTACCTAATACTGATAATGCTAACCCAAATTGAATTACTTCCAATGGAAATTAAACAAATGTTGGTCCAAAATGTGATTTCCCTATATAAACTATAGTAAAGTTTACCCCCTCACCAGGGGGAAACGTGAGACCCCAGGGTCAAGAAATTCACAATTTTGGTAAAGCACATTAAGACCCTTCCATTTTTGAAGAGTATTTGATTCTACCATATCTGGGTCTTGAGAAGAAGATTTTTTAAAATTTTATTCAATTTGACCCTTTTTGGCCCCGCCCCTCAGGCCCCTGGGGGCTTGGGACTAAACCGGCCACTATTTTTGTTGACCTTTGTCCATGAAAGGTTTCTGCAAAATTTCATTGAAATTGCTTCAGGGGTTTTGGAGTAGAAGTCGAAAATGTAAATTGTTTACGGACGACGGACGACGACGGACAAAAGGCGATCGCAATAGGTCACTTGAGACTTTGTCTCAGGTGAGCTCAAAATGTTACACTTATTTAACCTTTGACCTCGAGGGGAAGGTCACAGTGACCTAATTCTAGTGCACTGCACACCTTCTGGGGGAGATGATGCATGCATACCTCAAGTTTCATCAAGATATCTTTAACGGTTTTAAAAGTTATGGCCCAAACAAGTTGCAATTAGAAGAACCAGAAGAAGAAGAACCAGTACTAATACAATATGTCTCCCTTCATTTGAAGGTACTTCATCAGTCAGTCACACTACAAAATACTAGCATAAATGTCTGATTATGTGTTTTCCTCGACTATTTCATTATTTGAATGGAAATGCAGCAATTGTTCAAAAACCACTATAACTTCGAGACCAGATTGAATTTTAGCAGTCCACACACAAATTGATTAAGACCTCGAGCGATCACAAAATTTTTCACCAAACCAAATAAACTTTTATCGGACAGATCCTAATGTCTGGCAGGGTTTTGAGCAGACTGAATTTTGATATTACCTTGAGGCCACTTTTGTCTCCGTATTGTAGATCAAAGTAGTCGGACTCGACCAGCTGTAGATGGCGAATCACAGCCTCCCAAAGAGCCATACCTAAAGCTTTTACCTGTAACAGAGAAACACATCAACACCATCAAATATACCATCAAATAAACAACTTTTACCTGTAACAGAGACACCATCAAATAAACAACTTTTACCTGTAACAGAGACACCATCAAATAAACAACTTTTACCTGTAATTTCAATATTAACATCACATGCATAATACTTCTCTCGTATTGATATTGCATACATAGGAAATTTTAATGGTTGATTTTTTTCTTAATTTGGTTTTCACATTAACATTAATTGACAATGGCAATAAAGGAACATTTCAAAGTGAACAGTATTGATCGAAGCTACAAATTAAACAGTACACTTACTTCAGTTATTCAAATTAAAAAATAACTGGAACATTTAAAATTAAAGCTGCAACTATATAATATAAATAGTCATGAATTGCCTTCACTCTATCAGAACATCAGTCCAATCAATGATTTCTAAAAACTAAAAATATAATGTTGCTTTTCAGTTTAATCAAACACAACTGACACAAAATCCAGGGGGGGGGGTATAAAGACATTTGATTATTAAGTTTATTAATTGATGTTCTATTAACCTTATGCGACAGGTTTTGATGTAGTGTATTAATTATGGTGATACAAACAATTTGTACCAGAGTTATCTCCCTTTGACATTTTCAGTGAGCATCATCAATTGTTGATTTATGCACTTTTTCTTGTGTACTTTCTAAATGGGTGATTTATATATTCAGTATCACCACATAGTGGTTTATTAGCTTCAAATTATTTTACAATGGCAATTACTTTTACAGTAAGCTAGGACCCTTAACAATATTTCACTGTTTCGTAAGTGATACAGCTTCAATTCAAGTTTTGTAGTATGCGTAAAGTTATGCAATGTGTAGCAATTTGCACTTTTATCTCTGGATACCCATTGCGCTAATGTGGTTTAATTTGGCATCATTTGCCATTTCTGTGTTGATAGGTAAAAAAACCAAGTGACTTTGTCTCAGGTGACCTAAAAATCAACCAATCACTTGTGGTGTGTTTGTTAAAACGTATGATAAAAAATATCTTGGCAGCAAAATCAGCATACCATGTCCAAATCATTATTATTTCATGTCTTCCACGATAGGTTTTATGTTTTAGTCTGCCATTGTGACTCATACAGGGAGCCTTCCTTCTCCAGAACATCTATTACTAGGCATTTAGAGGAAGGATGCTAAAAAAACAGCAATTTGTCAGAAGTAGAGTACAACGGAGTTACTGATGCATATTTGTTCCTGATCATGGTAGTCACACTGCCTTGACAGAAGTACTGAAGTTGCTATACTGTCATCTCAAACTCCTGGACTAGAGAAATTAGATTCTGAAAGGTCCTCATCTGACCATGCATATTGAATTAATCATTATATGAATAATACAGAAAATATATATATGTGGCAGTGGATGACCGTTACAACCTTTGATGAGCTGGTCACCGCCTTCTAACAGAAAGGCTTCCTACTGAAAACTTTGGGTCACAGCGAGGGTAAAAGAGCGACACCAAGTTTTCTGTGGCGTAATTAATTTACAGATTGACTGTTCATCCTGCAGGGTATCCAGACTACTGGAAACTGACAAAATCGGATCCATATCAACAGTGTATTGAGCTGAATATTAACAGGATGAAACATATGTTATTGTATTTACATTAATTGTTTTTAACAGCCTTGCCCAGTGGATAAAATCTGTTTCCACACTATCTTGACTGTTTAGAATATATTTCCAATTTGGGACTTGCTTCTGTGATATTTAAACCACTGGAGAGCATTTACTTTCAAACTTTGCGAAAACTTTCAAGAAAATATATGCGTGACACCTCGACAAGCATAGATTTGTTTTGCTTCAAACACCATCTGGGACAGAGGAACAACAATGAGAGCAATACATCTCAAGGGCAAGGTCATCCTGGTTTTCAGGGTTCTGATTCTAACTTGGTTTTACCTGTATAACAGGTAGGTAACAGACATATCTACATGTACTGAATAATCCTCTATTTTATATTTTAACAATACAATGTAGTACTGCAGTACAGCATACCAATTTAGTATGCACAGATTTTGTTCATCTTCAAAATTAGCAATAGTCTTTTTGTATGTTGCATATGATTACCAAGTTTCAACAAATAAAATAAAATTTAAGCGCAAAACAGTGTAAAATAAGGCCTGCTTAACCCTTTCGCCACTGTAGACCATAATGGACTCATCCAAATAAATGTATGGTATAGTCTACTAAAGTTACCTAGGGGTGAAAGGGTTAATCCTATGTAAAGGAATGATATTACATTCTGCACATGTGCTTCACAGCACCCACTGAAGAACTTCCTTTCTTTTTCTTTTTTTCTTTTCAGAAGTTCTACTGAAAGTAGCATAAAAGAGAATCTACCAAGGGATCGGGTTCAATGAAAAACCATTTCTATTACAGACAGATTAACAAGAAACTTCTCTTCAATCTTTTTTGAAAATCATCAGGAAAATTCTTTATCAACCCACCAAAAGATTGGTAATTTTATCTCACCTAGAAACAAAATGGTCAATACAACATCAGCTCAACGTGAAATAGCCGATTCAACCTCCTTGAAAACAACAGCCAATTCAGCTTCCTTGCAAAAACCACTCGTCAAAACATCAAAACATATGCATACACACCAAAATTTAACAGTACCTCATAATAAAGAACTTCCTAGTGCAAAACCCCGACAATCTATACTTGTCGATTCAACAGCACGTATTACTAAGCAAACCATTCAACAGAAAGAAAATTCAATATTGCAAAACCATTTTGATTTGAAGAAATGTTCTTACACCAATAATTTTCACTTCTCTGATAGAATGGAACAATATCATCGATCTCCTTCAGAAACAAAATTCAAATTTTACATCTACAATTTACCAAGCAAGTTAAACACAGACATTGTGAATTGTTTGACTCGGAAAAACCAAAATGTTTTTTCCTTGATCACTACGGTATGGGACCAGAAATCACGGATAACAATGTGGGTACAGTAACCAGAGATACCCACATGTTTGCTGCTGAGGTCATTCTCCACAATAAACTGCGGTTCAGCCCCCATCGCACCCTGGACCCGGACCAAGCAGACATGTTCTACATACCGGCCTACATAGGTCTACAGTGCCTCTATACCCGATGAACAAATAAAATTGAATGACAATGCTCTAAAACTTGTTGTAAGGAAACTGATGGGAGTTGTCTCCCCTGAACAGAGTCCTTCGGCAGGAATATTTCAAGGCTGCATTTTAAAATGTAATTAGCAAATTTAAATGGTACACATAAAATTGAATCGCTACAGGAGAAGTTTCGCAATATTTCATAAAAGTATGTCATACATCTAAAGTACACTCAGTAATCATGTACTTATTTTCTGATATTATAATGGAATGGGAGGGACAACAATAAATGCCTGTGTGTATATTGGCCCATAGAACCAGCACAATCTGTCTGACCAAGCTAATGGAAACCCAAAACTTACACTACAATAGCTCACGAGACTGCATCAATACTGTGAGTGTCGGAGTATTTAGTCCACACACACCTAGAGCACAAACCCAGTAGTATACTGGTTCAGTGTTGGTATAACTCATATGTATTGTGCACCGTCTATTGATTTGTACGTCAACTACAATTATGTTCTTCCTTTGGATGTCCAACCCAGTTAAATTCACCGAAACAAAATATGTATGTAATATAGCACGCCTCTGTCAGGGAATATTAGGTCAGAGCCATCAGAATCTGTACCAAGACCAAGGAAACATAGTAATGGGGAGAAGGGGAGGAGGGTGGGGAGGGGGTAAACAGTCAGGGATTAGGACCCTGAATCAGGATAAGTAACGGGACAAAAGGAACGCTAGGCAAGGGAGATGGGAATGGGTGAGGATGAATGGGCGAGGAGGAATGGGCGAGGAGGAATGGGCTAGGAGGAATGGGCTAGGAGGAATAGGCTAGGAGGAATGGGCGAGGAGGAATGGGCTAGGAGGAATGGGCGAGGAGGAATGGGTGGTGAGGAGGAATGGGTGAGGAGGAATGGATGAGGAGGAATGGGTGGTGAGGAGGAATGGGCGAGAAGGAATGGATGAGGAGGAAAGAGGAGGTATGGGTGAGGAGGAATGGGTGAGGAGGAAAGAGGAGGAATGGGCGAGGAGGAATGGCTGGAAAGGAAAACAGAAATGTGAAGAGGTTGGTGGAACAGTAGGGGGAAAAGGACCCCAGGGATACAGTGTAACAACTAATAATTATCTTGGCAAAAAAGTCTTTTATTGTCTATAGTCAGTGTCAACTTGTCACACTGATGTTTGACATAAATATTTGTTGATCGTCATTTGCCTTAGAATTCCGTATACCAAGGGAGATAATCCAAGATGGAGGTCTACCAGAATCGTCAATCTTTTCCTGAAAAAAACTTGAAATTTCTTATACCTGTGTATTTTAAAACTTGAAATTTCTTATTCCTGTGTATTTTATGCGCCCCCCACTTTGGGTATTAAATTTCTGGAAAAAAAGTGCGCAAATTACATGGGTTTTTACGGTATTTTCTCTTTTTAAGATAATTTTTCAAATCGGTATAAAACATTTCGCAAAAGGTTAATGATTTGTATATTGTTTTATGCTGAATTTTTTGCATCTTGATTTCAACATTTGTAATAATTATAAAAAGTCTGACATAGTGATGAACAAATTTGTACAAAATGGTATGGAAAATAACCTGCAACTATTCAAAAATGCTGCCTACAGAAAAAAAGCGTAAAACTTAATAGTTATTGGTAAGTTGTATTGCCGAGACACTGTATTAGTTGTAACCATTCTTACACGGAAACCAATGCTTCCTTCCAGCTAAAAATCATCAGCCTTCGGCAGGTTTTTTTCTCTCCTCATGACTGGAGATTGCTCCCTCGGTCTACAGACACGGACACTACACATGTTGCTGTAATTATGACCGCCCTTAATTTTGTGCAACTCCACAATTTTCCAGATTCTGTCAATT